GTGTTTGCAAAAAAAAAATCAACTACAAACTACAAGATTCTCTACAGTAATCTACAGTAACTTAAAATGGCCACAAATAGGCTGAAATTACGCTAAAGATAAACTAAAAATGGCTTTAAACGGCTAAAAATAAGCTAAAATAACTAAAAATAGGCTTAAAATGGCTGAAAATACGCTAAAGATAGGCCTGAAATGGCTAGAAATGGCTTGAAATATACTGAAACTGTCTACAAATAGGCTTAAAATAGGCTAGAAATGGGCTTAAAATGGCTTTACATGGCTAAACATAGGCTGAAAAGGGCTGAAATTAGGCTTGAAATAGGCTTAAAATAGGCTTAAAATGGGCTTAAAATGGCTAAAAATAGGCTTAAAAGGGCTAAAAATAGGCTTCAAATAACTAAAAATGCCTTAATTCTTGCAGTGTCTCATCCTCTCAACGCGTGAAACTTCAAAAGTGCATTTCGCCAAGCTGACATCAACGAATCGCCTCGAAAGACACATCAAATCGGGATGCGGCAAACGGGTCGGCGCGAAGACCCTGCTGAGCAGTTCCAGAAGACGTCAGACCTATAAAAATGGAATTTAGAAATGTTTCTAGACTAGAAAATTCCCCCCATCCCTAGCGTTTTATCCAATAGTTTTAGCCCCCCAATTTCTTATTAAAAATCAATAATCTAGAAATTGTTCTAAACTAAAAAATACCCCTAGAAAATTCCCCATTCCTAGCGTTTTATTCCTAAAAATCCTGTTAAAAATTTGTTTGTTTTTCAATTCTATTATACAGCACCATCACTAGTTTTATCCAATTTTACACCCAATTTTGCAAAAATATTATTTTTTTTATCCCCAAAATTGTTCACTTTTCCCTATCTTTCTTTGTTTTTCCCCCGTATTTCGACCTCAATTCCTGATCAAATTTGCCACGCCACACCAACCAACCAACCTCAAAAATCGATATCAATTTTCAAACCCCTAATCGATCTGAAAAATCTGAAAATATACTGAAATTCGGGTTTTTTTCAGAAAATTTCCTAAAAATAGCCTAATTTTCAGCAAAATCCGACATTTTCCGAGTTTTTTTTTCAGAAAAATCCCTCAAAATATTGACAAACATGTCTAATTTTTACCAATTTTTGACAGAAAATTACGGATTTTCTGTCTAAAAATCCGATATTTTCCTTTTTTTTCCAGAAAATCCCTTAAAATGGCCTAATTTTCAGCAAATTTTGAGTAGGAAATTTGCTAAAAATCCGAAATTTTCCGAGTTGTTTACAGAAAATTACCCAAAAAATTAGAAAAATTAAGCCTAATTTTCAAAAAATTTCTGAAAATTAGGGTTTTTTAAAATCAAAATTTGAATAGAAAAAAAGACTGAAAATCCGACATTTTAAAGTTTTTTCCAGAAAATTCCCTTAAAAATTGAGCAAATTGCCTAATTTTCACCAAATTTCAAATAGAAAATTGCAGAAAATTAGTGATTTTCAGCCCAAAATTCCATTTTTATCCCCATTCCAGAACTATTATTGATTTTTTTTAAATAGAGACAATGTCAGATACAATCTAATTACAGTTTTAATCACTATATAATCGAATTATGATGATAAACCAATGTTCTTGTCAATTCCTCCCTTTTTTCCTCATTTTTCGAATCATATGTCTTTTTAGAAAATCGGTAAATCATGGACCGTTTCGATATTAAAACACTTTTTCTTTTTTTTTTTGGAATTTTCAGAATTTCCAGAAAATGTAATTTTTAGATGCTAAAACTGAACAGCAGGTTTCTCCTGTGGTTTGCACTTCTCGTCACCGGCTTTTTGATTTTTCGATTTTTGACATTCTACAGCGAGAACGAAAATAATCGAAATTCTAAAAATCCGGTCAGGATTCAAGAGAAATCGATAAAAGAACGAGTGAAAAGTGACGGGAGTTTGTTGGAAGATGTGCAGGAGGATCCGCAAGTTGGTGAGAATCAGATTCCCCAGATAATTCCAGTCGATTAGGTACAAAAATCAAGGTTCTAGGTCAATTTTGAAGCGAGTTATGAGCATTTTTAGTTTTACTGAGACTTAGGATTCTTTTACACGCCCCTTTTACACAGATTTAAAAATTGGAAAGCGCGCCAAGTTTGGACGCGTAGCGCGGTCGCGTCGCGGCTTTTCGGTGAGTAGCGACTCAACAACGCTTAACTTCACGTTTTTTTCAAAACACGTTTCAAAATTTTCGAATCTGGCACGCAGCCAACTTTTGTGTGCGACGAAGCGCGCGTTTTTCAGGTTCCCAACCGCGATGTCGTGTTTTACTGAGGCTTATGAATTTTTACTGAGGCTTATGAATTTTTACTGAGGCTTAGAAATTTTTTCTGAAGCTTAGGAATTTTTACTGAGGCTTAGGCATTTTTACTGAGGCTTAGGGTTTTTTTACTGAGGCTTATGAATTTTTACTGAGGCTAGGACATTTTTACTGAGGCTTAGGATTTTTACTGAGGCTAAGAGAAATTTTACTGAGGCTTAGTAATTTTTACTGAGGCTTAGGAATTTTTTCTGAAGCTTAGGAATTTTTACTGAGGCTTAGGCATTTTTACTGAGGCTTAGGGTTTTTTTACTGAGGCTTATGAATTTTTACTGAGGCTTAGGATTTTTACTGAGGCTAGGACATTTTTACTGAGGCTTAGGATTTTTACTGAGGCTAAGAGAAATTTTACTGAGGCTTAGGAATTTTTTCTGAAGCTTAGGAATTTTTACTGAGGCTTAGGGTTTTTTACTGAGGGTTATGAATTTTTACTGAGGCTTAGGATTTTTACTGAGGCTAAGAGAAATTTTACTGAGGCTTAGTAATTTTTACTGAGGCTTAGGAATTTTTTCTGAAGCTTAGGAATTTTTACTGAGGCTTAGGCATTTTTACTGAGGCTTAGGGTTTTTTACTGAGGCTTATGAATTTTTACTGAGGCTTAGGATTTTTTACTGAGGCTTAGGAATTTTTTCTGAAGCTTAGGAATTTTTACTGAGGCTTAGGCATTTTTACTGAGGCTTAGGGTTTTTTACTGAGGCTTATGAATTTTTACTGAGGCTAAGAGAAATTTTACTGAGGCTTAGTAATTTTTACTGAGGCTTAGGATTCTTTTACTGAGGCTTAGAATTCTTTTACTGAGGCTTAGAATTCTTTTACTGAGGCTTAGGATTTTTACTGAGGCTTAGGATTTTTACTGAGGTTTAGGATTCTTTTACTGAGGCTTAGGATTCTTTTACTGAGGCTTAGGATTCTTTTACTGAGGCTTAGGATTTTTACTGAGACTTAGGATTTTTACTGAGGCTTAGGAATTTTTACTGAGGCTTAGGATTCTTTTACTGAGGATTAGGATTCTTTTACTGAGGCTTAGGAATTTTTACTGAGACTTAGGAATTGTTACCGAGGCTTAGGATTTTTACTGAGGCTTAGGATTCTTTTACTGAGGCTTAGGATTCTTTTACTGAGGCTTAGAAAACTTTATTGAGGCTTAGGAATTTTTTACTGAGGCTTAGGATTTTTACTGAGGCTTAGGAATTTTTACTGAGGCTTAGAAAACTTTATTAAGGCTTAGGAATTTTTTACTGAGGCTTAGGAATTTTTACTGAGACTTAGGAATTGCCCCCGAGGCTTAGGATTTTTACTGAGGCTTAGAAAACTTTATTGAGGCTTAGGAATTTTTTACTGAGGCTTAGGATTTTTACTGAGGCTTAGGAATTTTTACTGAGGCTTAGAAAACTTTATTAAGGCTTAGGAATTTTTTACTGAGGCTTAGGAATTTTTACTGAGACTTAGGAATTGTTACCGAGGCTTAGGATTTTTACTGAGGCTTAGAAAACTTTATTGAGGCTTAGGAATTTTTCACTGAGGCTTAGGATTTTTACTGAGGCTTAGGAATTTTTACTGAGGCTTAGAAAACTTTATTAAGGCTTAGGAATTTTTTACTGAGGCTTAGGATTTTTACTGAGGCTTAGGAATTTTTACTGAGGCTTAGAAAACTTTATTAAGGCTTAGGAATTTTTTACTGAGGCTTAGGATTATGTTACTGAGGCTTAGGAATCCTAAGCCCAGTAAAACTTGAACTGGTCATAACTTGGCTCAAAGTTAACCCAGAAACTTGATCCTTGAACTAAATTAACCGGAATTTTTCGGAAAAAAAGGTGGAATCCTTTAAAATTCATTTTTCAGACACCAAATGCTACTACGACAACCAATGTGCCCTCCCTCAGATGCTGTTCCGTGTCCGCACCGAAACCGACAACCTTCCTCCGTTCGCCTGTCTAAACGACATCAAATTATTCGACACAGACTCCATTGGCCGTGGCATCAACGTGGCGATCCTCAACGGGACGACTGGAGACATTCTAGAAAGGTCCACGTTTGATGTGACGGCTTCTGATGAGAAACTGATGACGTGGCTGATGAGAATCCCGCATGCAGCGATTCTAGTCGCCGCGTCGTTTGGTGACGTAGCAGAGCATGTGTCCAGACAGTCAAGACAGCTTCTCGAAGGGTTTGGAGCCAAGAAAATCGATAATTGGAGAGTGGGAAGTGCGTATGCAATAATAGGACAACGAGGGATTCAGAAGGGCGAGGCGCATGAAACAATTTCCAAATTTTTGGACGAAAACGAGTCGCAGAAACTGTTCGAGGGGTGTTTTGAGCTTCCGATTGCTGAAACCAGAGAGGTTGAGCTCAAAATCGATGGACCGCCTGTTCATAGAGCCGATGAGACGAAACTAGCGGAGTTGGGAGCGTTTGAAGCGGATTTATTGCAGAAAAAGGAGACGGTGGAGTATGGGGAGAAGTGGAAAAATTGTGGAATGACTAAGGGGTGCAATGAGGATGACTCCATTGCTGTGCACTTTTTCTCTGGGGAGCACAAGGATGATCATCCGAAGATGTGCGTTGGAGAACGGTTGCTTTTTGATAAGTAAGTGACCAACATGATCTCCAGATGTTTCCACACATTTTGTTTCAAAAATCAAGTTTCTAGGTCAATTTTGAAGCGAGTTATAGCCAAAAGTGTTCTGAGGGAAACCCTCAAAAAACTCAATTTCAACCAAAAATCTGATTTTTCGCAAAATTTGCTCGGATGGCCTAGTGGGA